TTCCGAGGTGGGAATCCCATTGCCGGCCTTCAATGGGGTGCCGTTGGTGCCAGCATTGTGGGTCCGGAGTTTGGGAGTGCTCCTGGATGCCTCCTTAACAATGGAGGCCCAGGTAGCAGCCACTGCCAAGGCAGCCTTTTACCATCTTCGACTGATTAGGCAGTTGGTTCCCTTCCTCGAGCGCAAAGATCTGGCATCAGTGATCCATGCTATGGTCACCTTGAGGTTGAACTACTGCAATGCTCTCTACATGGGGCTGCCCTTGGGGCAACTTTGGAAGCTGCAGCTGGTGCAGAACGTGGCGGCCAGGCTTTGATGGGCCTCCCAATGCGGGAGCACATCCAGCCTGTGCTAAAGGCATTGCACTGGCTGCCAGTAGCATTCCGGATCCGCTTCAACGTGCTGTTTTTGATCTTTAAAGCCCTATATGGTCAGGGACCTGTCTACCTGAGGGACCGCCTTTCCCCGTATGTTCCCCAGAGAGCACTGAGATCTGGGACGCAACATCGCCTGACTAGGTTGACAACAACTAGGTCTAAAGCATTTTCGCTAGCTGCACCAGCATATTGGAACAAGCTCCCTAGTGAGTTCCAGGCCCTGCGAGATCTCCAGCAATTCCGCAGGCCTGTGAAGACGGAGCTTTTCCGCCGGGCATACCAGTGAGAGTGACGGTGTGCCAGCCAGACATACCGACCTGCTAGGACATGTATTCTGTATAGGTAGTTGACAATGTGGTCGATGTCTAGTTGTGAGGATTTGCCGAACCGCTTTTACTTATATTTATTGTATTTATGTAAAGTTGCTTTATGGACTGATGTTTTATCTATGTTGGTTTTTTAATGCTGCGAGCCGCCCTGAGCCGCTTTGGCGGAAGGGCGGGATAAAAGTTGAATAAATAAATAAATATAAGAGCAAAGCCTCAGAAATCCCACATGTAATGCGTGGAATGAACACAGTGTCGTGTTTTGTAGATGTTCTCTTTGAATGCAGAGGTTTTCTGTTTGGTTGGATAACCCACATGAATGTTAAGTAATAATTTAACAGTGTTTTGGTAATGACCTTTAAGGCCTCGAGCAGTCAGGGACTGATGTACCTACAGGACTGTTTCTTCTGGTATGTCCATTGAAGAGCATTATGCTCTGCAGGGAACAATATGCTGGTGATCCCCAGCCGAAAAGTCATCCAGCTGTCTTCAACCAGAGCCAGGGCCTTCTCTGCTCTGGCTCCTATCCGGTGGAACTCTCTGCCACATAACATCCATGCCCTGTGGGACAAGGCAGAGATGTTCTGCCAGACTTTGGGTTGAGGACATCTTTCTGTCACTCCCGTTCTCTTCCCTCCCCCGTTCCCTACTTCTTCCCTACTTTCCCTGTGAGGCAGTAACACAATTAGAATATTGCACCATCTGAGTTGATTTTTGCTTTTAATAATAATAATAATAATAATAAAGTATTGTTTAAATTGTTTTTATATTTATGAATGCTTTATCCTTTTATGTAAACTGCCCTGAGCCCAGAGGAGGGCAGTTTATAAATTCAAATAAATAATGTGAAGATCACCTTGTATTTAAGGTCAAAAATGTTAAGAATTGTTAAAATTATTTTGGATAATATATTCTTTCTGTTCTGTTTGTAAGTTATTCACAGAGTGTTTGTGTTTTGATACAACCTCCTCCCGTGAGCTCTCTTTTGGATATTATACCTGGAGGCTGGCAACCCTAAATTTACGGTTGCCAGTTCCTCCCTGGCCACTGGTGGGGGTTGGGGTTGAGCTGCAGGACAGGGATGAGATGTATTTTGGAATGTAATAAAGGCTCATGACCACTCAGTGCTCAAATAAGCAAACAACAACAACAAAACCTTGTCAGATTACAGCCTACCATAACTAAAAAAGAGCCAAAAATATTGTAGCTTGTGGAAATAAAAGGTAATTTATTTATACCTTTCAATAATTTCAAAATATGTGCATCATATTGGTTTGGAAATGTTCTTGTGTTTACAGCCATGACAGTGACTGTGCTGTAGACTCATTTTAGGCTTTATATTTGGCATTTTGCATGGAGAAGGTGTTGACAGTTTTCTTCTCTCTCTTTTGGCACACAGATTCATGGAATAAAAATGAATGGATATCAGACTTGTTTTTGATCTGAAGATATAAAACAGAGTGGGAAATGACTTCCAACAGAATATCTTCTGGAACAGCAACCTGAAAGGTTTTTAGAAATATTCCTCGTGATTTTTTTCTGTCATTTCACAGTTAATGGAAATGTTCCATCAGCTGCCCTTATTTTGAACAAGGCTTGGTGCTCTTTTCTTACTGTGTGGATATGAGTGATCAGAAGTCTTCACAGGAAGAAAAGCACAAACTCAGCAGAGCCTCCACAAAGTTCAAGGAATCTGCAAGAAGTATGCAGTCTGATGACTACTTTGCCCGAAAATTTAAAGCTCTGAATGGTAATATGGGCCCTCCTGTTCCTTTAAGTGCAACTAGCAAAGGTGAAAATAACAGTCCCGCTAATGGTACCCCAGCTGTGCCTAAAATGGGTGTCCGAGCCAGAGTATCTGAATGGCCACCTAAAAAAGATTGTGTCAAGGAGCTAAGCAAAGCTACATGGGATAGTAGGCCACAAACCGGTTACGAGAGCGTTGGATCAGTAAATGGTGACCAGGGTGAAGGGCAACAAACAGAACACCTTGATTTAGAATTTGCAGAGTCCAAGTATACGTTAGAAGACATTTTTGTCCATTCTCCACATAGAGGACTGCACCCAATAAGGCAGAGAAGCAACAGTGATGTTACGATCAGTGATATTGATACTGAGGATGTATTAGATCAGAATGCTGTCAACCCAAATACAGGAGCATCACTTCATAGAGAATACGGAAGCACTTCATCAATTGACCGACAAGGCTTGTCTGGAGAGAATTTTTTTGCAATGCTCCGAGGCTACAGAGTTGAAAACTTTGAACATAAAACACATGTGCCATTTGGATTGTCTGATTTTTTTCACTGTGACACAGCAATTTCTCCAAGTCTCCACGCTGCAGCGCAGATTTCCAGAGGAGAATTTGTCAGAATTTCTGGACTGGACTACATGGATAGTGCCCTGCTTATTGGTAGAGATCGGGACAAACCTTTCAAACGGCGGTTGAAGTCTGAAGCTGTAGAAACATCTCTTTTTAGAAAACTGAGAACTGCTACGAGTGAACATGAGACTCTTAAATTCCAGTCTGAATTAGAGGATAAAGGACTGGAGAAGAATGTTCATCCTTGGAACTGTCAGAAATGTTTTGCGCATTATGATGTTCAGAGCATTTTGTTTAACATTAATGAAGCAATGGTTACCAGGATAAATGTGGGGAAAAGAAAAAATATAACCACTGGAGCTTCAGCTGCATCACAAACCCCAGTGGCAACAGGCCAGATTGGAAGTTGTGAATCTCCTTTGGGAAGTAAAGAGGATCTCAATTCAAAAGAAAACCTAGATGCTGATGAAGGCGATGGAAAAAGTAATGACCTGGTACTGAGTTGTTCTTACTTCCGAAATGAAACTGGTGGGGAAGGTGATAGGAGGATTGCACTCTCTAGGGCAAACTCGACATCTTTTTCTTCAGGCGAAAGTTGCTCCTTTGAGTCTTCCCTAAGTTCTCACTGCACAAATGCTGGTGTTTCTGTATTGGAAGTACCTAGGGAGAATCAGCCGATTCACAGGGAGAAAGTAAAGCGGTATATCATCGAACATATTGATCTTGGTGCATATTACTACAGAAAGTTCTTCTATGGAAAAGGTAAGAGAAATGTTCTACTATCTTTTTCACTGTTGAAGGTTTCAGAACAGTTACCAGACTTTTGGATAACTCAGTGGGAAGTAAAAATATCAGATGTAAAATACCTTCTGATGAGGGTGCCTTTTCTAAGTCTCTTATGTATAGAACTAGCAGTAAAGCCCGTTGTGAAAGCAATACAACGAGATCTAGAAAGAGGCTCTGGGGCAGTGCTCTGGCTTTGGGCAAACAGTGTCAATTTGCTGTGGTGACCTCAGCAGGGTATAATGACAGAGTCCACTGTTTTCTCCAGAGGAACTGATCTCTGCTACCTGAAGAGCAGTTGTAATTGTGAGTAATCTGTAGCCCTCACCTGGAGATTGGCAGCAATTGTTACCCAGGACAAAATGGCTGGTTTGGAGGGTGGAGTCTATGGCATTCTACCTGTCTGAGGTCCCACCCCTCTGCAAACCCCACCCTCTCCAGGCTCCACCCCTCAAATCCCCAGGAATTTGTCAGCATGTAGTTGGCAACCCCATCTCCTTCCCAGCTAGCCACCAACCTACCATTATCTGCCCCTTTGACTTCAGCTGACTTCTGCCCTCCCTTCTGCAGAGCAGTTGTAATACTGAGTGCTCTCCAGCCCTCACCTGGAGATTGGCAACAATGGTTCCCTATGTGAGACTGACTGGTTTGGAGGGTGGAGTCTATGGCAGTGTACCTGTCTGAGGTCCCACCCCTCCTCAAACCTCACCCTCTTCAGGCTCCATCCCTCAAATCTCCAGGAATTTCCCATCTGGAGTTGGCAACCCTATCAGGATTGGCCCCAATGTGTTTTCTCCCAAAGGCCAAAGTAGGTGACAGGACCAAGCTTAGTTGCCTACCAACAGGCACTGAGGGGAATGTAGGGTTGCCAGCTCTAAGGAGGGAAATACCTGGAGGTTTGGGGGGTGGATTCTGTAGAGGGCCGGGCGACGGAGGCATCGGCCTTCTGTCGCCCGCCTTGCCCCCCCAATCTCGGCCATACCATACTAGTAGCCAGTAGTAATGGGAGAATTGATTCCGAGAGCTGTTGAACCATGAAGCTCACTGATGGCTGTTAGTAGTTCCTTATCTTTTGATTTTAATATAACTCACTCATTCTGAGATAATTCACATGTGAATATAAATCAATTAAAACTCACTTTATGTTTTTTGTTATATGTGTTTAGCAGTCAAACCACTGAACCCCACTAAATTTCTAAAGATTTGTGAAAGAAACACTTAGTGCTACACAAAAGTAAAGAACGATTGTGTGGGTAGTTTGTACTCACGCAGTGGTGGTTTGCACATCATGCCAGCTTTTGCTAAAGTTCTGTTTCAGTTCATTCATCAAGTTGATACCAAGTTTTTGTTTTATTTCCACAAGATGCTTCTCTTTGGCTACTAACACTTGTCGTAAAGTTGAGATTTCATCTTCTAGCTGAAGAGAATTAAACAACAGCAGCATTATTTTCAAGCATTAGTTTAGTATCAGATGTAATAACAAGTTAGTTTGGGGGATCCTAGATTTGTATGTTGCATCAGGCTTCCTCCCTGTTCCCCTTATACACAAATTGAAAACTCACTGCTTTCATGGCAACCCAAGATTAAATTGTGACTTGAAATCTTGGTTTGCAGAAAAGAGAACCAACTCCATCCCACCTTTTTCTTACTTTCATCTTGTTCTCATCCTTGCATCCTCCTTTCTCAAACTTCCATTTCCCTTCTCTTTATCATCCTTGGTGTTTTGCCATATTGCTACAGTACAAATTGCCACTAACAGGAAACACTACAGCATGTAGAAAGCTGTCTCACAATACAGCAAAATACTGCAGCATATATTTCACTGCTATTTATTTTTGGAGAGCCTAGATTAATATAAATCTATGAATTATAAATATTTATGGTATAGACAGAGCATTTTACTTTGGATTGTGGTTTGCAAACTAGGTATCATTGAATGAATGGCATCAATAGTTCCCCAGGAGCCCCATCGTAAATGCACCAAACAATTCCAAAGCTTTAAGATCTCTCCAGCTGTCACCTGGAGACTGGCAACAGCTTGTCTGGAATGTGGGCAGTATGGCATTGTATCTGTCTGAGGTCCCCCTCTTCCTCCTCCTCCTCAGACCCCACCCTCAGCAGGCTTCATCCCTAAAATATCCTGGAAGTTTCCAACCTTTCCTGGCAACCATCAGCCAACCTTTATCTGCCTGTCTGTCTTAAGTTTTACAACCCCCCCCCCACAGCCTCTGCCTAGGGAAAGGGCAGCTGACATCATTCTCCTCTCCCCTATGAGGTATGTTATGCAACTGAAAATCCCAACTGCCTTGCGGGGGGGGGGGTGAGTTTGAGGTGTGGAATGGAGTGTAGTCCAATCAGCTTCCATATGCAAATGACCTTGGAACACTGGGCGGGACTGCACAAAGCAGCCAGTCAACCCAGCCAGTGTCTTCTGAGTGGCAGTTTTTCCGGCCTAACACTAAAGGGGCCAAATTTAGAATGTTCATATAGAATGTTCTTACTCAATTATATATAAGGAGAGATGTATTCATTAATGTAACTGTTTTGAAGTTATCAACACAGTGTCCTTCTAATTCTGATGAAAGCTCCAACCTATGTAGCTATTTAATTTTCAGATCTGCTGTAGATGGTGTTTCTCTGTCCAGCAAGGCACAACAGTGTACAATGGGGTCAGTACTGAAATCTGTCACCCCTCAAAATTTCTTTAATGAACCCATTCTTATAGCCCCAATGGCTTTGAACGGCTCACACTGATAGGCCAGATAAATTAAAACCAACTAAATATTACCCCTCCTATTTTTATTTTTAACAACAATTGACAAAAACTTTACTACTGCCAGGGTAGTTTTAACTTCCATTCTGGCCAATAAGTTAGCAATCCTTGCGAAGAAAGTAACATTGCCATGTCATGTATAAAAGGGGACATCCAACACTGTCTGATTGAAATAAATAGGGCACATTCAGATAAACAATGATCTAGAGTGCCAGTCTTTTCGTGCAGTTACAAAGCCTGTCTGCGAAGGGAATCCTCCCCTGACGGCCTGTCATTTCTTCCAAAGGGTCAGCATTCAGTTGAGCCAACATAAATAGTCTCCTATATTTGAGTACTGTCAAAAACGCAAAATATAATGGCAAGGAGTTTGACAGGGAAAGAACCAAGTAAAATTAACATACTCTACAGGATCTCCTACTAGTACTTAGGAAATCCAGTTCATAAAGGCTCTTTATTATACGTGTTCATGAAGCTGTCACCCCTAAGCTATCAACATCAGCTGTGGATATCCCCAGTAGTTGTAGTCATACCTCAATCAGTCTTAGCCAAGGGCTTTTATATCTATCCTTTAAAAAATAATACAGATAACCACTCTCTGCTGTTGCAAAAATCTTTAGACAAAACCTAAATGTTGTAGCTCACATTTGGGCCTCCAAAGAACATTGTGCCAATTCTGCACGCAGAGTAACATGTGCAACCACCTTTGGTGCTCCTGTTTAGGGATGAACAGGTACCAAAAAAGCCCAGTTTGGGGCTCATCTGAACCCAAATGGAACCCCGAATAAAACCGTTCTACTGAACCAAACCAGTTCAGGACATGGCAGGACAGCTCCCTGGGGTAGTAGAGGTTCCAAATTGTGGAGATTCTCCAACTGACTCTCCTCTACCTGTCCACCAAGTTTGGTGAAGATTGGACTTCGGGGGTATGAGTTACAGCCCCCCAAAGAAGGTGCTTTCAGGGAAGTGCTTTTGTGGGAGATGTCAGGTGCAGGTTCTGGAGTGTATAGAATGGGCTTGGTGCAAGCTAGAGGCATCAAACTCAGTGGACCTTCCCAGGATGCCCCCCTATATGCCCTCCAAGTTATGTGCTAATTGGGGGGGGGGGTCTGATTTACAGCCTCCCAAAGAAGGTGCCACCAGGAAACTGCTTTTCAGAGAGACATCAAGCACAGGTTCTGGAGGGTATAGAATGGACCCTGCATGAGCTAGAGGCGTCAAACTTTCAGTGAACCTTCCTGGGATGCCCCCCTATATGCCCTCCAAGTTATGTGTGGATTGGACTTGGGGGTCACTGAGTTATGGTTCCATAAACAAGGTGCCCCCAGGAAAGTGCTTCCTGGGGAAATGACAGGTGTAGGTTCAGGAGTGTATATAGAATGGGGCCTGTGTGAGATAGAGACATCAAATGTACAGCAGACCTCCCCAGGATGTCCCCCCATGTAATCTGACTTGGGGGAGGTCCAAGTTATGGCCCCCCAAAGAAGGTGCCCCCAGGAAAGTGCTTTCTGGGGAAATGTTGTCAAGCATTACCATTCAAGTCTAGCATTGTCAAGCATTACCATTCAGAGCTCTCTACATGGGGCTGCCTCTGTCACAAATTCAGAGGCTGCAGCTGGTGCAGAATGCGGCGGCCAGGCTGGTAATGGGGGTCCCGAAATGGGATCACATCCAGCCTGTACTGAAAGTGCTGCACTGGCTGCCTATAGCGTTCTGGATTCGCTTCAAAGTGCTGGTGCTTACCTTTAAAGCCCTATATGGCCAGGGTCCGGCATACCTGAGGGACCGCCTTTCCCCATACAGGCCCCAAAGAGCACTTCGGTCGGGGTCACAACACCGCCTAGTGACCCCGGGACCTAAAGAGGCCAGGCTTGCTGCCACAAGGGCCAGGTCCTTTTCGGTGGCAGCTCCTACCTGGTGGAATGAGCTCCCGGAGGAGATCAGGGCCCTGCGGGACCTTTTACAGTTCCACAGGACCTGCAAGATGGAGCTCTTCCGCCAGGCTTTTGAGTAGGAGCCGCCGCCGCCACTATTACCACCATCGTGCACTGCAGAGCAGTGCCGTCAGGGTGGGCTGATTTGCCAATTGGGGACATCTCGGCCTATGGCACCCCCCTTTTCTGTTGACCTCATGGTGAGATAGAATAATGAGTGGGTATTTTTAACTACCAATGCATCCTGTAAGATTGAATTGTGTTTTAAGTGGCTA